ACACGGGTTAGCATACGTTTGGTCAAAGAATGGGCTTCACTTGTCTCTTTTGACGAGCTGTACTATGGTTCTAAGAATGGCGAGACTCATTGACGATGCCGGCGAAACGTCTAGGAAAGCACCACGTCCACGATCCAACTTAGAAAATAATCATGCATACAATGGACTCAGGACTAGATACGTTCTTCTAAGTTTTCCTACCAATGTGACCAAGTTGAGAAAACAAGGTCAAACAACTTCTATTCAACGAAAGGAGACCGCGATCACACACCGCGATCTTGGTCCTCATACCCTCGATTAGTTTTTTTTGCTTAAGGATACTAAAGGTTATTAATGCGTTCAAAATGTATTATGCCAATCATCCCTCTTAAGTTAAAATCCAACTTTTGATTAGAATATCCTCTTAAATCCACCTGACCAATAAGAAACCGAAACCTCTTTATACATAGAAAAGAACATTTTCTAATCATCTAAAAATTTCATTCTAATAAACAAGCACTAATTCTCTTTAGACATGGGAAGATCTGTTAAATCTGAATCATAGATAGGATATAGGAGCTACTGACTCAATACCATTTTTAAATAGCTTATGATAGGAAGTATTATTTAATGCAAGCGTTACCCGGGACTCGTCTTTTGGGGGCTCATCTCCCTCACCAGAAGACTTCGAAGTGGATGTGGCGGAGGCAGAGAAAGAGACAGCGGCAGTGGGCTCATTCTGTGGAATTCCAAGCTGCATCTGATTCTTCCCAGTTAGCCTGCCAGTAAGTGACTGCCTTGAGGCGGATACTGTGTCATTCGGTGTCATAGACGGGGGCTGAAGTCGGTCGTCATGATCAACCATTGAAGATTCGACAGGCTAGAAAAAAAGTTAGTTGAGATTAGAAAACTTTTGGAAAACTGGTGCAAGGGAAAAAATGTACCATGAAACATGTTAATGAGCCAAGATTGAAAAGTTGATGAACGTGCTCAGCTTATTTACAAATACTCTTTACTCATTTCGGATTTGAGCAAAGTTTTCAGCCCAATAATAAAAATTTTTACTGATTTGGAAATTTAACCAAATAATGTTTGACAAAAGAGGTAAAAATAAAAAGAATAGATGGCATGAGAATATAAATGCTTAATAGAAACATTAATGATAAAGAATATTAGACTTTAAATGGTAAGGTCGTCAACGATGATAGCACGGAGCTGAAACGTTCATAAAAAAGATATAGCACTTAGCACAAATTAATTTTCTCCTAAAAATTTGTTTGAGCGGCCCAGTAATAAAGAAAAACTCTAAATAAAAATTTGCATAGGACAACGTAGCAAATTATATCGGAGGGGAAAAAACAGGTCTCATAAGACTGGTTAAATATTTTAGTGGAATATAATAGAGCATATCTAGAGACCAATAATGCATTATATTCGTTGAAGCTGCGCTTTTAAAAGTTCCTCAATGATGTATGGAACAATATTAAAAACATGAGCAAATTTTACGAAAGTCGTACTAGGTCGTTTAGTTGTAAAATTTTGAATTGTGAGGACACCGCGTGCCCTTAAGCCAATAGTAATGATTTCTTTTATTGTGGCATCACTCTACATTTCGAAGGGAAAGTAGGTTATAAGGAATTCGTGATGTGGTAACACCGGAAACCGAAGTATTGCCACAACTGTGATGAAACTGTGCTAAGCTTTCGTCTCTACAGTGACAGACATTACCAGAGCAAGATTCCATACTTAACTAAATACAGCAAAAATATATAACCTAAGAGGTGGTCGGCTGCAACAAGTCGTTTTTTATACAACTAACATCGCGATCTTAATGAAGTCTACCCTGACTTGGTTCGCTACTTCAATCTTACTCTTCATGCTTGCAAATGAGTTAAGTTAACTTCCCGAACCGGGAATGTGTTCGGTGGCAGTTGGTTCATCGCACAAAAACTAGCGTACGATCGCCTAATGCTGAATCATGTTTGGACTTGTGCTATTGTCTATTGTCTGTATGTAAGGTGTATGTCATGGATAGTACGAGAGTCCCAGCTAGATACGAGCCTCCTTCTCTTTCTCAGTGGCTCTTCCTGCACCCCTCTCTCCCTTCTCTTAGGTCTATCCAACAGCTACAAAAAGCTCCTACTTCGTTTTCTAGCCTCGTTACTCCTATTCAGGACTTTGGCTGTTTTGATAATTTCTATAAACTCCATAATTTTACGCTTTCACTTCAAGTCCCCGTAACCCACAAAACGTTGTGTTTTGAAGCAGTCGATTGAGTGTCCTGTATTGACGATGTGTTCAGCGAGTCCAGATTTTAGGACCCACAGACCTTTACAAACGGTTTTGTGTCCGCATAGTCTCTTGTGAATGGGTCGGCAGGTCTCCCCCACAAAACCTTGTAGCAGACTGATCTAGAAAGGGGGTCTGAATATTCTCTAAACGAAAGAACTACTGAAGAAAGCGTTAATTTCTCTTTATACATTGTTTTAATGTTCCATTTCCACGGTAGTTCATTTAACTTTTTCGCAAGCTGACAGGAAGTAAAAATCAGGAACCGATAGGAATTGTCCAGTTTTATATCCCGCGTCTGATAGCAAGCTCCCTTGATCTTGTTAACTACAATTTATATGTAATTGTCTACTAATCATAATGGACAATTGTTCTGAAACTGTATATCCCTCAATCTCATTGTCCTAATGGTTTGCATCTTCTAGACGCAGACCCTTTATAATCATATACTCCATAAGTCATATTTGTACTTTATGTATAGGTGAAGATATGAAGACCAAGACTCTGTAGCCTCTGGTCCGTTTCAAATAAAACAGTAAAACTTTGGGGAGCCTGGCAGTCAGGAAGCTTGGCAGACAAATGAGCAAACGGTCACTGAAGTTCGGAGTTATGGCCAAAATGTACTAGAAATCCACTTGAGATGCCGCACGCGACCAGAGATAGACGTCAACAGTTTGCTCAGATAACATGGGTTTAATCAAGGAGAGGATCTGCTAAGGGAAAGCCTGATAGCTGCAAGCATGCAAGCGCTCTGCTCAGTAAAGCGACAGTGTACGTGCTTATAGGGCCTTGAGAAATAGCGCCTGGAGTGAAATGCACACAGGGACTGAACACTAGTGTAATTGGTCAACCAAAAAGATAAGGAACGGATCTACGAGACAATGAATGGATTCGGATTGAAAGCCTGAGTCGGATAAGCCTATCGAAAGCGAGGGGTCGGGGTAAATAGCAAGTGGGATAAGAGTGTAAAGAGCAGATAGATAAGCAATGACAGAAATAGAAGTGATAGTGTAACCGTTTTCGACAGAACGTTTGTCGAGCGATTGACTTCACTTGTATCTTTGACGAGTTCGTAGCTTTGTGCAGAAAATGGCAAAACTCACTGATGATGCCGACTACGATGTCTCATCAGCTCCCCCAGCCGTACTCGAGCCTGCATAATGCAGCGTAGTCTCGATGCGTTAGCCACTAAGCCACAATGTAACTTATATCTGTGCCACAAAGAATTCAATAAGAAGAAAAGATGCACATCCACCG